AATTAAATGTATCGACAATGGTGAAACTCTTTCGTTAACTGCACGTGAAAACAGGAAATACACAATTGGTTTTATTACGATTATTATTTATTATTTTTTTTATTGTTATTATTATTACTTCGCTCCAATATAATAAATATGTAATAGTTAATGGGAAGGAAATCTAAACGTGAGCCCAATAATTACGGAATTCGATTGAATTATAAAAAGGAAACTGACTCAAAAAAAAATATTAAATAAGAGAGAAATAAAGATTTTAATGATCTTATAATGGGCTTGAAACACGCCCCGACGGGTGCCGATTCTTTTTTCCTGCATTCAAAAGCCACATTTTTAGTGGGCATGAATAATGCTAATTGCAGGCCGTTTAATTAGTTGCTATAAATATAGCAACAATGGCGGAGCCAGTCGGACAGGAAAACACGAACGAACAGAAAGATACGGACGTATGAATATCATTTGGTGCAAGGAGGAAGGAAAATAGAGTAATAATAATAATAATGATACGGCAGCATGCATTATGCTTGATTTGAATATGCAAATGCCAATAATAACAGATTTAGAGTTGGAAAGAAACACAAGAAATTAATATTTAATTGCGATTATGCGTTCCTTTATTATGTGCCTTTTTACAACTGGAATTCTATCGAATTATGAATAATGACTTAATGAATATATACATTAGTTTGATTTGATATTTCTTTGTTTTGTGTGTGATTTTTTTTTTAGATTTAATTATGTTCTGCTAAAGGAAGTCCCTTGGGGTGTACGTTTTGCAATATCATGAGAAACAAATTAAGTTGTTTATACGAGATTCCTAAGCAAATGTATTTTACGAAAATATTAATAGCATACTTTACAAATAGAAGTTAAAACTTACTTCAATTACGTCTTTGTAATATCAGTGGTCCTAAATTCATGTTTTATTTGTTACAAAAAAAATAGTTATGGATTTCGGTTCCCAAACTTTTAGAATTTCGAAAATTCTTTCAATTTCATAAATAATACAAAACATTAGTTATTTTTACCAACTGAAAAAATCTTAACAACAACAAAAATCTCAATCTGAATTACACATGCAAATTACAAGAAATAAGTTCGAACAAAACATAAAAACAAGTAGCTTTCATTACTTATTTACAGTTAGTATTAATTATGTAATTATGAATTACAATCTGCGACGGCACTTCAAATCGTTGTCTTTTGTGTAAAATATTATTTTTTAAGTAGCTAAATGCTAACATTTTTTTGATTGATTTGAAATAATGAAAATCATAGTTTCCTAACTAACAGTAAATAAATTAAGAAATTCGTGGAACATATTGTTATTGGGTCTTAGAACTCCCACCATAATTATACATCAGCATAGTTTTCTCTGGATTAAAAGTATGGCGGATATATCCGCCGCTCGTCCACAGTTGTTTAATACGCATCTCATTTAATAATTTTCGTTAAGTACATAATATTTATTGCACTATTATAATATTATTTAATGTTTAACCTCCGGTCCGCCGATTACGTTTCGCATGTACTTTAATTATTGCAACCTGGTTTTATTTGATTATGTAACGACGTGCGTGCGGCTGCGATAACATTATTATTACTGCAGCCCGAAGCGTATTAGCATTTTGAATATGTGAATACGCTTAAAGGAATTATAAATAATTAATATTAGAAATAAGAGAGAGAAAAAAGAGTAAGAAGCAAAACATTTTGCTTATTAGTTGTTTACAGTAACGACCATGGGCGTGAGAATCGTTGAATTTTTAATAGAAAATAATCCGTGTTTTTTCCTTTTTATTAATTTGTATCTTTTTTTTTCGTACTTCTTCCGGATTTTTGTTTGATAGCTTTTGGAAAATTGCACGTCTGATTTCGCCATACTAATTCCGTTAATAAGTATCCATTGTTGTTGCATAATGCGAGATGGGAAATCTGTATAATTATAAATGTATTGACATGGCATGGTCGTGGGCCGTTAACAATTTCACGCGGCCGAAGAAAATCTCCAACGTGTACACACATTAGGGGCGGAGGAAACTGTATAAACACCTAATATACAGTTAAATTGTATGGGAGTGAAAATTTGCATTCGCAATAAGCGATCCCAAGAAAACCTTTTCCTGCATGAAACTTTTGATATTTACTCATTCGCATAAGTGAAAACCGTGGTGGAATGGGAATAATACATACACGCCTCGAAAACAAATCAAAGATCGTAATCAACCGAGACAGTTCCAAAGCATACTTTTATTTTTTATTTTATTTTTATTCTCTTCCGATCAGAACGCATTGTGTTTCACAAACGATATTAGATGCTTATAACTAGGTTAAATGTACTAAATTATTAATACTTTATTATTTCTATTTAACATGTTGACAGGCGAGGTAAGATCTTACTCAACCAAAGCAGATCTGATCTCAGCTTTCCACGAGAACATATCACCACTAAACCAGAGGTTTTTTTTAGATGCACATCAATTAGAGGCGAAAACTGTTTCAAGACCCGCAGCTTAGAACTTTTAATAAACTGTGTCTTACGCAACACTTCAAAACCAATAAATAACACAGTACAAAGAACAAGAAAAAAAACGACTTTGTATTCTCGTGTTAACGTTGAAAACGTTTTTTTTTTGTTATATATTTATATGTACTATTACTCAGTGTGAATTTAATTGAATTATAAATAATTACCTGCTGCTTATTAAAAAGGTAATTTATTTGATTTCGCAGTTTCGATGGAATAATTCATAAGTTCTGCGGGTTAGAACCGCGGGAACCTTGTGCCTCGCTAAAAACAGATAAATATATTATGTACTGTGTAATTAATTTATTGACTCGATATTTTCCTGTTGCAATTATATTACTGCCACATTGCGGCCATATGTTTAAACACTTGTTATTATAATTGAATACGTTACTAATTCTGCTTTCCTACAGCTCAATCCGCACATAGACATGTTACGTATCTTATCAAGATCATGCAACTGCACACTTTTTCTTTTCTTTTTCAGTGAATACATTATGTTACAGTTCGGAATAGATTACTTTTATTATTCAGTCTGTTTGACGATCAGATATAGAAATTGTATTATTGAAATTGGTTCACTTTCATCACACATCTACTTGTTTTTATATTAAGTAATACAAGAGACATATGTTCTAAACTAAATTTATAAACCAGTTTTGCAATACATTGTTGTTAATATAAAATAGTAGATTAAACGATCCCAGGAGCGAGTATTTAATTATCTAACTAACTATCAATTTCACTAATTAATAACTCAGTTTTGTGTCATCTTATTATGCAAGACTATTAATTAAATTTGGTTGCAGTTGACATCAATTGACATACCTTCTGGATGTTATCATTGTATGATTAATTAGGAATTACTTCATACCTAATTAAATCCATAGCTCTAAGGGTTTCAAACGCTTTAATCTTTATGTTGTCAAGAATGTTAATAGCTAGAATAATAATATCTGATATCAATCTTGCTACTTAATTTTGTAATAATATCTTTAGCATTGCTAATGCGATGATCATCTTGTCAGTAATGGACCATAAATGTCCATTTTGATAAACGTTTTTGAATAATTTGAATGTTTGATTTTCTGAATGCTATTAATTCTTACTAGTTTCATCATGCCTTAATACCTAACAAATATTTAGTTAATTTATAAATATATCTCAGTTAAAACAAAATAACTCGTATTTATTATTTCATACAGTAGAGAAGAGTTCTTCAACCTTGTGACGTTCTGTTTCCAGACTAAACCTTCAATTTTCATATTTTTTTTCTTAGCTAAGATTAAAAAATATTGAAATTAAACAAACAAACTTTTATAGTATAAATATTCCGGTAGATATTTTTTTAGAATTTGTAGAAGTTCATAACCAAAATTATGTTGAAAAAACTGTATAGATTGAACTGGAACGGATAATTTTAATAGTATGAATAAAATGTAACTTAAAGCATTGAACTTATCGATATCGATTGAAAAGATCTGAAATAAATCGATTTGAATGTAAACCGAGAAGCAATTTTTAGACAATGTATAAAGAAGGCAATTACCTTTTATAAACACAATTTTCTGGTTTCCTATACGATTTCTTAATATGTGATATATTCAATAAAAGTATATCAATTGTTGCTGATTTATAAATCGGACATGCTGCCAAGATTTACAACTTTTCCAATTAATTCATGTTTTGTTATTTAATTTTGAATATTTACTAAAGGATTGAATTCATGGTTTTAATTTAGTTTATACAAATTAATAGAATTGTTAACCATATTTTATGAATTAAAATAATATTGAATTAAAAGCAATAATTATTGTATTTTTATATGTTTTTTTTTCTTAATTTTCAAAGGAATAAACTTTATTTTATAATATTATTAAATATTTGTATTTGATTTAATTAAATGTGTTATAATTGTGATAATTGAAAAATAAAGTCATGGTACAATAACATAATAAATATTTATATAGAATTTGCGGTATAAAAATTATTCATGTGCAACAGAAAATTTATTTTCTAACAAATAATATATATGAATTATCGTTGATGTTACAGTTATAGTCATGGGAATTTTATTGACCACAATGTCACCAGGAGTGTCAAGGATACAAAATTATTGAATAAAATTGAAGTGCCTACGTTTATTTGCATTTCGTTCATTTCAAGGTTAAGTTAATCAGCGAAAAAATATTTGCTCGCGTTTTAATTGGAATCGTGTTGATCCATAGGAATTAATGCAAAAAAAAAAGATAAACTAGGTGAAACTAGTTATAACTAAGTTACAAAAAAACTGATGGGGTTTGCATAAACAACAAACAAAAGTTTGAAAGGAAAACGTTAATACAGATGTAGTATTTTGGCTATATTTGGAGCGTCCAAATTTTCCAAATCCCTGAAAAAAACATGTTTTTATCTTGATAATCTTCATATAAATAAATTTTCTCTAAAATTTGAAACAAATGTTATTCGTGTTTGGAGGAGAATTAACGTCAACATGTATTTTAAAGAGAATCCTTGGATAATCCTGGTGGCGTGTTCCGGTAAGAAATTGTTTGGAAGAAGAATTGTAGATGTGTAATATTTTGTATTATTTAGCATCGTTTCCTGCCTTATATACTGCAGTAAATATTGGTTGGACGTCTCCATATTTACCATACTTGGAAGATCCTGAAAAATCGCATATACCTACCACAACAAATGATGGATTATGGTGTGCTGTAATGCCTTTAATCGGAGCTCCATTTGGCGCTGTTGTTGCTGCTTTAATCGTTGATAAAATTGGAAGAAAATTTCTGTTATTAGCATTATCACCAATAGTGGCTTTGTGTTTTGGTGTTATAGCGTTCGCAAAAACGATATTACTTATAAGTTTAGCGAGATTTGTTATCGGTATCACGGAAGGAGCGTTATACACGGTACTACCAATATACTTGGGCGAAGTTGCAGATCCAGCAATCAGAGGTCTTGTCTGTTCTTCGTTTCCAGTTACTGCAGCTCTAGGGATTATCTTCATCAATGTGATTGGACCTGTTTTAACTATACAGGAAAGCTCTCTGGTGTGCATAGCTATACCTCTAATACATTTCGTAACATTTATGTGGATGCCGAAGAGTCCTTACTACGAGATCAAAAGGAATAATTTTGAGAGTGCAAAGAAAAACTTGAAACGCTTGAGAGGTAGAACTAACGTTGAAAAAGAATTCGAAGAGATTTGCTCAGCAGTAGCTCGACAGGAATCTGCTGCAGATACGCGTTTCATGGATATACTAGCTGTACCCAGCAACCGAAAAGGCCTAGTAATTTATTTCATACTATCATGCACCAACCAGTTCAGTGGGAAGAATCCTATGATGTTCTACACAACAATTATTTTCAATGAAGCCGATGGTTTTCTAAGTCCAACAACTTCAGTAATTATATTCTACATAACGGGATTGGTGGCAACTGTGATTGCTCTGCTTATCATCGACAAAGTTGGCAGAAGACCTTTGCTTTTATTCTCCGCCGTCGGATCTGCTTTTGCTTTGGCCTCTCAAGCGTTTTACTTTACTGCCCAAAAGTACATTCCTTCGATTGTGAGCCAAATTACCTGGCTTCCTCTTGTGTCCTTAATTGTGTACAATATGATCTTCAGTATTGGTCTATACTTCGGACCGGTGCTGCTTCTTTCAGAACTATTCCCTACGACAGTGAAAGCTAAAGCTCTATGTGTGGCGGATAGTCTTAGTTCCTTATTGGCCTTAATAGCATCTAAATTCTTCCAGGAAACCAGAGAAGCCTATGGTATGCTCGTACCATTTTGGACGTTCTCTTTATGCGTTGGAATTGGATCTATACTAATTTATAAGTTTGTTATTGAAACGAAAGGGAAAACACTGGAACAAATACAATTGGAATTAATCGGCATGTCAAATAAACCTAATTAAAAGATTATAATAATTATCACATGGCAACGTTTGCTGTGATAATAATTTAATAAATATATAAATTACGCAATGAATTATTATAATTGTTTTGCATATAAATAATGTGCGTGGCTTTAGAATATGGTTCACTTTTATGAAATTACAAAAATAAAAAGTATAGAGACATATATAAATATAAACGTAACAAATTACCGTATTATACACATGTTAATCGCTGCATTAAGCACTATTTAGCGACATACTTATATTATAATTATCATATTTATTTTTATATAACCTGGATTCGCGTTTTAAATGAAGCACATCCAACAAAATAAAAACATTTATAAACCCAAACATACACAGACACGAAACAAATAGTAAAATTATAAATAGAAACGAGAAAAAATAATGATCAGAATAATTTATTTGAAAACATACAAAATGTACAAAAAATGTATTATGTCGCCCTTTTGCAGCACTAAAATGAAAAAACACCGCTTTTGTGAGCGTTTGTTTATTCAATTTACAAGTTTGAAAGCAAATTATAGACAAACAAATGAAACCACAACAATGTGTGACGTAGTTGCGAAAAAAAAAGATAAACAAGGTGAAACTAGTTATAACTAAGTTAAAAATTGATGGAGTATGCACAAACAACAAACAGAAATTCGAATGGAAAACGAAATGCTATATCTATAAAGTATTTCGGCTATGTTTGGAGCATACAAAATTTCCAAATCCGTGAAACAACATTCGGTGGTTTTATCTTGATAATCTTCATATAAATAAATTTTCTCCAAAATTTGAAACAAATGGTATTCGTGTTTAGAGGAGAATTAACGTGAACATGTATTTTAAAGAGAATCCTTGGATAATATTGGTGGTGTGCTCCGGTAATAAATTATTAGGAAGAATAATTGTAGATGTGTAATATTTTGTATTATTTAGGTTCGTTTGCTGCGTTATATTCCGGAGTAAATATTGGTTGGACGTCTCCATATTTACCTTACTTGGTAGATCCTGAAAAATCACATATACCTACCACAACAAATGAAGGATTATGGTGTGCTGTAATGCCTTTAATCGGAGGTCCGTTTGGTGCTTTTGTTGCTGCTTTAATCGTTGATAAAATTGGAAGAAAGTCTATTTTGTTAGCGTTATCACCAATAGTGGCTGTGTGTTTCTGTGTTATAGCGTTTGCAAAAACGATATTAGTTATAAGTTTAGCGAGATTAGTTATTGGTGTAACAGAAGGAGCGTTATACACGGTACTACCAATATACTTGGGTGAAGTAGCGGATCCAGCAACTAGAGGTCTTATCTGTGCTTCGTTTCCAGTTACAGCAGCTCTAGGGACTATCTTCATTAATGTGATTGGACCTGTTTTATCTATACAGGAAAGCTCTCTGATATGCATAGCTATACCTCTAATACATTTTATAACATTTATGTGGATGCCGAAGAGTCCTTATTACGAGATCAAAAGGAATAATTTTGAGAGTGCGAAGAAAAACTTGAAACGGTTGAGAGGTAGAACTGACGTTGATAAAGAATTCGAGGAGATTAGCGCAGCAGTAGCTCGACAGGAATCTGCTTCAGATACGCGTTTCAAGGATATACTAGCTGTGCCCAGCAACCGAAAAGGCCTCGTAATTTATTTCATATTATCATGCACCAACAAGTTCAGTGGGAAGAATCCTATGATGTTCTACACAACAATTATTTTTAATGAAGCCGATGGTTTTCTAAGTCCAACAACTTCAGTAATTATATTCTACATAATGGGACTAGTCGCTACCGTGATTGCTCTGCTTGTCATCGACAAATTTGGCAGAAGACCTTTACTTTTATTCTCCGCCGTCGGATGTGCTTTCGCTTTGGCCTCACAAGCGTTTTACTTTACTGCCCAAACGTACATTCCTTCGATCGTGACCCAAATTACCTGGCTTCCTCTGGTGTCCTTAATTGGGTACAATATGATCTTCAGTATTGGTCTATCCTTCGGACCGGTGCTGCTTCTTTCAGAACTATTCCCGACGACAGTGAAAGCCAAAGCTCTGTGTGTCGCGGATAGTGTTAGTGCCTTATTGGGCTTAACGTCATCTAAATTCTTCCAGGAAACCAGCGACGCCTATGGTATGCTCGTACCATTTTGGACGTTCTCTCTATGCGCTGGAATTGGGTCTATACTAATTTACAAGTATGTTATTGAAACGAAAGGGAAAACGCTGGAACAAATACAATTGGAATTAATCGGCATGTCAGACAAAACTCATTAAAATATTATGGACATTATCGCATGTAAAGCAACGACAAATTTAATTGACGATCGTTTGATGTGATAATTATTTAATAAATATTAATGTTACGCAATGAATTATTCTAATTGCTTTCCATACAGGTAATGTCCGCGGCTTTAGAATATAGTTCACTTTTATGTAATTGCATGAAAAAATATAGGCAGACATGTAAATATTTACGTAATAAATTACGGTATTATACACATGTTAATCGCTGCATTAAACACTATTTAGCGACATACTTATATTATAATTTATCATATTTATTTTTATATAACCTGTATTCCCGTTAAAAAAATTAAGCACAATTAACAATTATAAACCCAAACATATATACTCACTAATCTAGAACAAATATGACAAAAACACGAAACAAATAATACAATTATAAATTAGAAAAAATAAAAATTTTCATAAGAATTTACTTTATTTAAAAACGAATTATTTTGAATGCAGATAACACCCAAATGGATCATACCACTACAATCTCGTTACATTCCCCAAATATCCGGCTTTCATATGCACCTTTTGAATCTATTCAATCTATTATAGTTTCCGAGAAAATTATTAAAATGTGAGCGTTATTTTTTCATTCAATCAACTTTGAACGCAAATTACAGCAAACTGGATGAAATGACAGCAATGTGGATCATAGCAAAATACGACACTGTATCCGGCATCAATTACGTAAGTATTGTTAATAAAATCTACTACCAGATTTACTCTCTCCGACGTTATATGCAATTAGTCAAGATCCAACAATTACATAATTAACCATGAACATACAGCGTATATACATATTTAAAGTCATCATTCATACTGACATATGACGAACACATTGATTAGATCACGCACATCAAAAGCGATTAAGAAAACGGGAATTACATCGAAATAAATAATAAAAAAAATATACGAACACATCAAAAGCTTAAGAATCAAATCGATTGGTCAATGTGATCAGTCTAACGGAAATTTGTAAAAGAATCAATCAAATTGACTTTGTTACACATGATTGATCAGGTTTCAAAAGAGCCCTGAATAAACGTCGTAATTAAATCCTCTAGGTAATTACAATATTAACAGAGAATGATTGGAAAAAAGGGAAATGCCAATTGTTGTGGAGAAAAATGGCAATAATTCTGCAATTAATTGCAGTCTATTTAAAATCAATTTATCCAATTAAAGGTTTCATCCTCGACTTCGGAATTGCGATTTTTTGTACTAAATAAACTGGCGCAATTAAATTGAACTCTCTTCTTTCCGTCGATTCCGAGTTATGTTAAAAAAATATATATATATAATATAAATTAATTGCATGGCGGACTCGTCTAGATTTATTTATTTTCCTCACGTTACGTGCGCTGTTTCTTAACTATATATATAGGATAGTATATTTTTTTTATGAAGAGTTGTCAACATTTTTACAATTATATTTAAAAAAAATTAACAAAAATGTATATAAAAATTAGTTATGATTTTAATATTAATAAAAAATGTCTTACTTATTATTTTAAGTTTCCATTTTAGTTTACATAAATAAATAAACTAGGTTGGAAGCACGACAAATATGCGAGTTTTATTTTTCTATAGTGAGTAAAATGATGAGAAAAGTAGGCAAAAATAAACTTATAGGAATTCCCTCTAAACTGTGTACAAAGTTTGTAAAGTCTTAAATACTGTACTAATACTATGTATAATTTGTGACATTCTTCTTTATGAGTTGTACCAACTATTAAATATATATAAAACATAATCATTTCAGTATTTACATTATTAAAATCATTGATAACCAAGTAGTTGGTAAACCTGACATGTGTATTTCATGTAATTCATAGTGACAATCTAGTATAATGTCAAAAAACATTTAAGGTCTAATATATAAAATACAGACACAATTATACATCGATTTAAGTTTCTATACTCGAATTTTTTATAGTAAACAAACATTTACTTGAATTTTATACAATGTAAGTAGATAATGTTATTATTATTAGTGTTACTAGTCAAGTGCTGGCGGCAAGATAAGTCCGATGATGATCGCTGTCCAAACATGTTAATTACCGATTATCCGCTTGTCTAATCACCAGACTGTAAAGTACAAGTAAAATGTTTCATAATTGCCTTCTCTGTGAGCGCTAAAAAAATGAGCAGAGAGAAACTTTTGATGATGTCTCCCTTACCATTGAACCCGTATTTTAATTGGTCAAATTAAAGGTTAACTAAAAGAAGTTCTCGACTCAAACAACATGGCAATTATCTATACTATCTATATACGTGTACGTATTTATTATTATTCTTTAATGAAAATATGTAATTCCTACACTGGACAGAGAGACAATAAAATAGTTGGAATAAACACGATAATTACATCCTGCATGGATTAAAATAAGTAACATGTCGTACGATTGCTCAATGGCTTTTAAATCCTATTAGCTGTTGTTGTGCACTACTAAATAGTGTGTAACAAGCAACAATAAATAAACTACTATATATATTTCATTTTTAAATTTATTAAAATACGAACAGGAAGCGATGGACACATTTTGAAAATGATTCAATAATTATCTTCAATCGAACGCGCGATTATTCCTGATTTTTTCTCGCTCACTCTCTCTCGTTTTACTGCCGAAGGTTGCCCTTCTAGTAATTGTAATTTATTATAATATAATTGCCGATAACTTTCGAGCAGGTTGAAAGCTGAAAAGGCTTTTAGTGGACAAATTGTTCGAAACACCTGCAGCTTGCACAAACATTACACAAAACAATATCAATTAGGTTTTTGCCTGTACACTTTTATTTATTTAATAATTATTGCGTTACGCTTGGTGGACTAAATTACATGTTGAATAATGGCAACGAAATTTAGCATGTGATGGCTTTTTTTTTTCGTCGGCGAAGTGGCTGTCGCACTTTCTCACCGGTACGGCCACAGGATTTGCTCTGATCTATCATATTAGACTTATTAACATTTGATTACTGATATTAAATTACATTACAATTTTAGATTATTAGAAGGGTTTCGGATCGAATCGCCGTTCACGAATACATTATTTTGATATGTGTTTAATATAAGTCAGTTAAATTGTACTAATTAATAATATTATTTTTAAGACACGTTCTATACACTATAATTAATATTCTCAAATTTGAACTGTTGATATTATGAATAAATGAAAATAATAATATTACGTACAAAAAGACAAAAAAATTTCTCAATAAAAATATATTTTTGTTTTTCATTCTAATAGACAAATATATACAGCAATAGTACGATTAGTTCCGTATTAGTCCGGTTTTAAAGAGTCTGAGAAATTGCCGTTACCTCAGACAACGAAGTCCGCAATTTCAAGCAAAATATAGACAGAGGTTGTACAAGAACAAAAAAAATAATGGCTCAATTAATAGTTATGAAATATTATACATTTTTTGAATCTTTAGATGATTGTTTTTCAGTAAAAGTTTTAGAAAACAAAGACAAAGGATGTGAAGTGTGTCTCTAAAAACAAAATTTGGTTTAACGCAGTAATTTTGTGGAATAATAACTGAATAAAATAGTTTTATAACAATAGACTCATAAATATTACTGCGTTAAGAAAAAAAAAACGTAAAAATACTTAATTAATAATTGATTAAGTATGAATAAGGGCTGGGTTGTGTGGTAGATTTTGTCAGCATGATGTAACTTTACGAAAAAATGTCTAAAATGTGAAAATACTGAGACTTTTTTGTTGTTTTTTAAACGCGAATTCTGGTTAAAATTGATAAAACTATAGCATTGTGTGAATACTCACATTCATATTCTCCAAACATCCAGATTTTATATACGAAGGGGCGACTTCCAAGTCCCTGAAGATTTCAGGAAAAAAATAGCCTAATATAATTGTATGTAACTTTTTTTTGTAAATTTTACTTATGTTAATTTATATTATTGTTTTTTTTTTCTCAGAGGTAAATAATTATTTAAATTCCAGTAATCGAATTCAGCAGAACATGAATGCATTATATTCAATAACAATAATTAAGCGTCCGCCTCGAATTACGTAATTATCGGTGTTCCCGTGCCCGTTTTCGGCATCATTAAAGAAATAAGTTCATCGAAAATCAAAAGGGCATGAGAACCGAGGATCGCTTATTCCAAAGTGAACTCGCATCGAGATATCTTCGGACCAAATGGTAACGACCGACTGCTAATGCATTTACTGGTTCCACGCGACAGAGCTCGGAAGTTGAAGAATCCGAAGAGTTCATTTGCCTCCACCACCAAACGCATGCAAAATTTTCGGAAGTTTCCAATTTAGCGGTTTTTTCTTAGTATAGAGTAGAAAAAAATAGAATAACTGAATAACGTTAAGGATGTGGCAAAGACGAGGAAGAATAAGAAAAAACAGTAAAGAACATATGAAGGTCACACATCGAGTAACCCAATCCTTAGTAAAACCGGAGTACATTAAACTATCGAACAGTTGTGAATATAGTGCGACTATAAATAAATTAGAGATAATTAAATCGATTTGGACCATTAAGCAGGGAACTGCGATCCGACTCAGTTATTTTCTATTGACACCTTTTATTTAGAACGAGTTTTGCCTCTAAGGGCACGACATTAAAACGCATTGGATAACTTGATTAGTTGCACGTTCTTAATTATATAACACTGGAAAATGCGGAATCGGCGAAAATGAAAGAAAATAAAACGAAATTTAATTACAAGTCCGATAGTTTCAGCTTCGACAATACTTTTCTACGTGAAATTAATATGGTGCAGTTAATTTGCATGAATAATTTTGAATAATTCGCGCATTAATAAGAATCAACGTCTCACCTCTCATCCAAAGCAATAAACTGTCGCATTTAAATGTAACGCATTAGCGATAAATTCCGTGCGATGAATATTGTTACCATTTTCAATTGTCGTAACGAGGCGATAATTAAAGTTTGCACGAGAGAGAAAGAAAAAAATTGATAATTTATTGCGAATTACAGTTGGTACTGAATAAGTTAACATTTAGAAATTAATGGAGAGAGAAAGAGATGAAAAGAAGAAGAAAAATAATGTTTAAAAGAAAAAAGAAGACGGTCAATTTCATGGTAGAGCACATTTCTTAATTGATATTTGAATTAATTGACTTATTTTCTACTGGCAAAAGTCAAACTGCCAACTAATAATCCGATTATGGAAGCATTTACGTGGCTTATGTAACGTGTCTTATTAAAGGCCGCAGGTTTGTTTTC